TCATCTTCTTCAAATAAAGCAAACAAATATATGATGTTCTTCCGCTGCTCCGGATAGAGTTAACTTGATGAAAGCTCTTTTTAAGTAGTTTTGTTCTCATATGTAAGAAGCTAGTCATATATAGTATATATGCTCCAGCTTGAGGGGGAGTGTTAGATGATATTATATGTTTAACTTTTTAGATATTTAGATAATTGGGCCAATGTCCACTTATGTAACCCTACTACTCTCTATTTAAGAGAGCTTAGGTTAGATGAAATAATAAATTTGCCTTCTCTATTTCTCTACAGAAGAAATCTTCAAATAATTTGAACTTTTATGTAAATAAGTCCACTAATGTACAGATCCTGAGCAATAGTGTTGATTATCAGTTCTGTACTTCCCATGTCAAATAAAGGATCCTACATCAGCACCTTGCTATGTCCCTATTAATGACCTGTATACTAAAAGAAATAGCATGTAGATACAGAATTACAGATCCTCTAGATAATACTTTTCAAAGGGAACATAACACACTCTGAGCACTTTAAAAACTAAAAATGGGAAATTCATCTACGTAACTCAAAGGAAAAACAGATATTCAGCAAGCAACCCAAAAAAAAATCACCCCATTCCATGGAGTCTTGACAAGGAAATAGATGATGATAAAAACTTAACTTACTGGAGGCAATAATTTCCTACTCAAGGATTCATTATCTTTAGCATGTGCCTTGAATTGACTGGAGTTACCTACAGCCAAGAATATGATTATGCATCTTTCTCTTGAATATTTCATTATTGAGGAGAACAACTGATCATTTCCCTTTTGTTGTATAAGAGTAAAACCACATGACAAATGTGTCCTGGACCTAACTGCCTTATAGGATACATGGAAGGCCCCTCCCTTGTCCATATTTCCTTTGCTATGAATCTAGCACCACCTTGAAGTGTTAATACTTGAGAGCACGTCATATATTTTTTATGGAGTCTTGTTCTTCCTCACAATAAAATGCTACATTATTTTAAGAAAGTTTGATGTATCAATATAAATTTTCATCAATTTTTCACAAATATTGAAAACCCAGCTTATGTATTTGAAATAATATATAAATATGCAGAATAAGTGAAGCTTCTTGAAGATGTAAAATAAAGTTGCAAGGCCACTTCATAGTGGCATCTCTCCGGAAAATTTAACCAATATAGCAAACTAACTTTTTAAAATACAATAGTATTTTTCTAGTCTCATCAATGGGACAAGTGGGAGAAAACAATAAGGCATGTACCTACAACAGTATTACAACATATTATCTGACCATTAAATCAAAAATATAACTTAACAGCATAACTAGCTTGCCAAACTTCAATCTTTGACAATTTATAAAAGCATACGACATGCTGAAAGGTTGACATGGGGTCTGAAGCCATATATTCTGTCCATCAATATGAACTAACCATAGATTAAATGAAGAATATAAAACAGATGTAGAAAGAAAGTCATCAAGAAAGATATAAACATAAAAAAAGATACAATGTTGGAATTCAGAAAGCTGAGTTCTTGATACATACTGTCGACCCAGCTGAACAATCTCGGTGTTTAACTGATTAACTCTATCCACCTTTTCTGAAGTACCACTACAAGAATTAGATGTGCACATATACCACAGAAAAGAATATAGAAAGAAAGACCAAAAAATTATACATACCTGCAGAAAGATGGACCCCTCCCTTTTCGAAGTCAGTGCGTAAAGCATGTGCAGCCCTATGAGCTTCTGTCTGCAGAAAACCTTCCTGCTCAGCTTTTACCACCGCACTGTAAAGATTGTGATTGGTATTCAGAAACTGCAAATACAACAACTTTAGATGTAGCTTGCTAGAAATGCCCAACAATTGGCAGAAACTTCTGCAAAAAATGACACATCTTATTCATGAAAAACAGAAGAAGTAACTCATAACCATAACAAATGGTGTTAAAATCATTATCTACTACATTAGATTGCCCAAGATTTGCTTTTGCTTTTTTTTAATACTCTAGATTTGATGATTTATTTTTTAAAATGCTGGTCCTTCTATGCACATTTCAAGTGATGGAAAACAAATCTCATATTTGTCCTTCATGCCTTCCTTGCGTTTAAATTTACTATTGCTTAAAAATAATAATAAGTGCAGGGGCAAATCCACCTTGACCAAAGTGGGGTCACATGACCCCACTTTGATCAAGGATGTCCAAGAACCAATTCCTACTTAGAAGCCACCAGTTCCAAGAAACACCCAAATAATAAACTAGGTGATCCTCAATGGAAACCTCATGGCCCATGGAAGCCCATCAGAGTTTCCAACTTCCCACCCAACTGAAAAATGAAATTTTTCACAACAGCCCTCCTAAGTTTTATGGGTATTTTAACTCCTTAAGTTCAGTTTTAAATGTCATAAAACTCTTCTTAAGTTTTAAAGTTCTCAGAAAACCCCCTTCAACTTTCACTGTTTTCAAAAAAGAACCCTAAAAGTGTAAACCAGAATTTTCACAAAAAAAAAAAAATTATCATAATTTTATCCACCCACGTGAAAATTGTTGTTAATACTGTTAAGGGTTTTTTTTAGTTGGAAGTTAAAGGGAGCTTTCTAAGAACTTCAAAAGATAAGGAAGGTTTTTGTGATGGTTTAAAAGTTAAGGAAGGTTATCTGAGCAATGCCCAAACTCAAGATGTTTTTTTTTCTAATTTATCCACTAAAAAAATCACCTTTCAATTCAAGTTCATAACTAGAGAACCTGGTACTAGTGATTTTTATTGAGAAAGATGTATTTGATAATGTTACTAATGATGCGATTATGTACTTTTTTCAAAATATGAAAACTCGTCGGATGTTGTTGTAAATTTTTTTAATTATTAACTACATAGTGATACCACTTTTCAGAAATCTTGAATCCGCCATTGGCTACTAAGAAGTTCCTTGTTTATAAACTAAAACTCAATAAAGAAAGCTGGTGTACAAAGATGTCATTAAATTATGTAAACTGATCGGCAACCTCGGCTCCTTTATTTGCAGTGAGCAGGTCTTAAACCCATGCCTCTTAGATGAAAAGCAAGATGATAGTTAATCTGACCTGAGACTCCATGGAATATCTCAGATGTCTACAGTGTTATCCAAAAAAATAAATTCATCGAGGTAAATGCATTTCTGAAATGCAAATAGAACAACATCTACTATAACATGCAACATCTACATTAACTGACGTCCTATAGCATATCAATCTGATGATAAATAATCAATGGATATTAAGCTGCATTCATAACATTGAATTTCTAGTGACACATATCGAGAAAATGCTTCATACACCCATCTTCACTACATCATCTCTGCCTATTTAATATTTGGTGTTTTTTTTCCAAATCTTTCATATTTTGAAATTAATACCTCAAATATTTAAGTATTTTGAAATTAATTCCCCAAAATTTTTAAGTGTTTTGTAATCAGTCCCTACATGTTTCAACCTGGTGCCATAGCCAGCCAGCGGGGCTAATTTCAAAACACTTAAAAGACTTGGGGGCCTGGGCCTAATTTCAAAATACTTAAAGATTTGCCGGATTAATTTCAAAATATGAAGATTTGGGGCAAATATCAAAATATGAAAGATTTGGGGGACTAATAACAAAAAAAACCTTCATATTTTCCAGGGACACCCATCGAAGTAACAATTTTTAAATCTATAATCAGTGCATTATACCCGTTTAGTTTCCCAGCAATCAGCTGACATGATTGTCTTGTCCATTAATCTAGTTTTTTACAGTCCCTAGATGAGAATGCATCTCAAGTTTCACAATAATTTCTTGTTGCTACTACTCACTCAAGAAGCAGAATTAAATGGCAATTGATACATCATTGCTGTGCTAGAAACTTGGTTATGTCTATTCAACAGGAGAAAAATCAACCAAAATAAACAAATGAACTCACGTGCAGATGGTCATATATCCTCATTGAGGCCTTCGTGGCTTCCTCTACATACTCCCTAACAATACGCAACATAAAAGATTTATTAAAACTACTATAATTCAAGAATGTACTCCCTTTTCTACTAAAATTAGAAGGACAGATCAATTACTTATTTGGATGAGTCTGCCTGCAGAGCTCTGCTGCATCAATGACTGAGCAGACCTAAAAAAGAAAGGGGGAAAAGATCAACCTTTTCAAATTGCTCCGCACGAAGGGAAAAAAATCAAAATTAAATATTTTAGCGGGAATTACAGTGTTAGAAATCTCATCCATGGTTCTAATGACCTCAGCCGACGGAGGTAACTGAGAGACATAGCTAACGAGCTCTCCTGACCTGCAATCGTCGAGATATTAAACTCCATGCTTTTGCAAATAAATAAACAAATTCGATGGGGAAAATGCTAAAACCTCTCAATTGCTTCATCGACGAATCTACGAAATCCTTTGGCCGTCTTCAGATGCGGGATCCCGTAGAGTCCGGTCTCTGGGGACGATTCGGCGACTGGAGAGTCGAACACTGAGGGAGATGACGAGAGATTGCGAGCAAGAGAAAGGAGAAGAGAAGATGATCGAGATCGTCCTAGGGTTAGGGAACGTTTCATTGTTTTCTTCCTCTTAATTTTGTCCCCTTTTTCTACGATTGCGCGCGATCGGGGACGGCGACGCCGGCGCTAGCGCTTGGGTTTTGGCGGTGGAGTAGCGCGCACCTGCTGAAGATTCGATGAGGTGTGAAGACGGACCAGTACGTGGTCAACTATGTACGGACTAACAGGGCTGCTGAGGTGCCCTGTTGCATAAAGTGCTGATCTTAGGGGTGTTTGGTTACATTTCTATAAATTATAGGAAATGTTTTTCATCTCAAATTTGATTTCCTTGTATTTCTTAAAAAATTATAGGAAAAGTTTTGAGAAGTTAAAAAGTACAAATTTTTTTATTTTTTGTATTGTGCTTGTTTGGTTCAAAACAAGAAAATGAGAAATAACTTTTGGGAAAATAGCAACATTTCCTATAATTTATAGAAATGTAACCAAACACCACCAACTTTATAGAAAAGTGAGAACTTTGTAGAAAAGAGTTAATGAGTTTTATTATTTAAATAATGAATGCGTCAGATTTTCAAGAGATTTCCTCCCATTTTAGAAGGAAATCAATTTTCATAAAATTTGGTACTTTTGGGCACTTTACAGAAAACATTTCTGTAAATTTTTTTGGAGTCAAACACAGTTTATAGAAATATATAGAAAACTCTTAATTACATAAATACCATGTGTCAGTACTTTTAAGAAAACATTTCTCAAAAACAATGTAACCAAACACCCCCTTATGATGGACAACTCATTATGCAAATGATGGTCAGTTCATTATGTAATAAGGGATATCTCACATATTTCTCCTGTTGGTCTTATATTTTGGGTCCTTGTGAAAATTTTCATTAGTTTAGAATGAAACGGTAAACAGTGTTACTCCTTTCTTAGTCAGTTATTTCAATATTGTTTGGTGGGATAGAAATGGAGTTGCAAATGCCTAATTGGATTTGTAAATACTTTATTGGACAATTTTTCAAAATAGATCTTTTTTAGATTTATTTTTAAAAATCGACCTATTTGAGATTCATTTAGCATTTTTAATGTAGTTTCAGCCAGCTGATTAAAATTGGGTCGAAAATGCTAAACAAGTTATGACAACTTCACGGGATTTAGAATCTTGTGAAGTTTAGTGCTTAATTAATCACCACTAAACAAGGTTGCATGACGGAGGGGGAGGAATCGCACCAAACTTCACGGGATTCTGAATCCTATGAAGTTTAGCTACACTCTTCACGAGATTCGGGATCCCGTGATGTTGTAGGGTGCAATTCAACTCTCTGTTTGGTTGGGCTTGCAACTTCACAAGATTTAAAATCTCGTAAAGTCAGTGACCTCACCATACTTATCTAGCCTATTTCCTCCAATCACTTCTAATCACCGCAGCCAACATCCTTTAGGGCCGAAAATCCCCGGAGTTCGCCGAATTTCAAATTTAGGCCTTCAACAAATATTTGGTAAAATCATTAATCTTTTTTGTTTTTTCTCCTAAATTTTTACATATTCTCATTATTTCATCATAATAGCTTGTTTTAGTTTAGATTTTGGAATAATTTTTAAATTATGTATGAATATTTAAAGTAAAAAAGTAAATTTGTATATGAAGTTGGATGGGAAATTAGGAAAATTGTAAAATTAGTGAATCATAAAAATTAGTGAATTTTTTTTGAATTTTTAAAAGTGAATATTGTTTAAATTATGTAAATTAGGGAATCATAAAAATTAAGGAAATGGAAATATTAGGGTTTTACCTATGATAAAAATTATGGTATTGTAAAAATTGAGTATAAAATTTTAAATTAGGGAATTTTATTGTAAACAATATTTTTAGTGATACTAGCTATTGTTGAAAAATTTTACTCCTCAGATGTAACAATGAACGATCGATTCTTAATTCTTTGTTCGTGTGATGGGAAGATTAAATACCTCGAGAGTAATATGTCAGTATATGAAGGAGGTGCGATGAAACCATTGTTTATATCCAAATCATGTACTTTGGATGGATTGGTTAATGACTTATACAAACTTATATTAAGTAATCCACGTGAGCATCACCTCAACATGATTTGCAATTATCTCGTAACGGGGAATAGAATAAGCAGTATTGAAATCACAAGTGACTACGATATGGGTCTCATTGGAATATTGAATGACGAGAAGCCTTCGGTGGAATTATTTATTGAAAAGCATCACAGAAATTTGAGCAAAGTGGTGAATCACGACGGGGTGTACTCTTGCATATTGAAGGACATTGAAGTTGACTCGACTGGTTTTTTATCTCCATAACGAAATATGGGATGGACACAGTCACAATAGTTAAGCGGTCCTTCGCTTGTGGGGCTTCAAGTGCCTTCGATGATAATGCTCGGCATCAAGATATAAGGTCTTCTAGAGGAGTGACGATAAAGGAGGAGAATACAAGTGATGAATCCAAGGATGATGATGATGAGGACAACTTACAAGTTAATAGCATGACGTGTTCGATAGATCGTAATGAAGGGGATAATCAATTAATTGACTGATATTATTCTAACAATGAGTACGTTGTATTAGAGGATCTGCCTTCCAATGAACTTCATGGAGATGGATGGATTGATGACTCTGGAGATGGATGGATTGATGACTCGATAATGAAAAATATTCCTATTAGTCCAAATTCAAATGACGATACACAAGGCGAGGACTTCTCATTCAGAAAGCGCGATCTATTTGAAAGCAATGGGAAATTAATTCATGCACTTTGTTTGTGATCCACCAAAAAATGTCAAATTTAGGCAGACAAAAAGTAATGCAACAATCTATAATGTAGTTTATTTTTACAATGAAGATGGTGAGCGAGAAGATGTCAGTGGTCACCACATCGAAAATACAAAGTGTCTTTCGAAGCTTGATTCAGGCGTGGGGGTAAGACTAGGCGGACAATTTAAAATAAAACACTATAACGGAGTTCACACATGTTGTGAACCTCGATTAGAGATGAATCATAAACATGCATTCACCTCTTTCATATGTCAATTGATTACACCAAAACTAAGTGATGATCTCGATCTAAGGATAAAGGATATTTGTATTTTAGTGCATGAAGCAACCACCTTGGACGTGTCATACAACAAGTATTGGAATGCTAGAAGGAAGGCGATGATACAAATATTCAGAGATTAGGAGAAATCTTATGAGATATTACAATATTATCTTGAAGCACTCAAAAAGAAAATCCGAGGATAGTGTACGAAGTATTATCGAATCCAGTTGATGACTGAGATAGACGATTCACGGGGGTATTTTGGGCATCTGGTCCTTGCATCAAGGGATTTAATTATTATCGTCTTATTTTTAGCATTGATGGAACCCACTTATACTATAAATATAAAGGCGTTTTTCTTGTGTCAACCAGAGTAGACGCAGATGGCGGTTTATTTCCTTTAGCCTTTGCAGTGGTTGATGTTGAAAACACCAAAAATCAGCCATGGTTTTTTGCATTTATTAGTTATCATATTCCTAGTGTGCGAACACGATCGATTACATTCATATCTGATAGGATGAAATGAATTCTAAGAGCACTCCAACAACATTATCCGTCATTACAACTTTAAGAGAAAGCATGGACAAGTTCATAGCCAAGACCTTCTTTGGCAAGCTCGATGTGCAACGGAAAAATTAGTTTATAAGCAACTACGAGAGAAGATTAAGTCCATTTTATAAGTTGCAATGTTTGGATCGAGTCTAGTTTGTGTCTGAACAATGTCGATAGGTGGGCCTTATGTGAAGATGGAGGGAAACAATTTTTTATGATGACCACAAATACTTTTGAGAGTTTCAATGGTGTGATTAAGGTAACTCACAGTATGCCAATATAGGCCTTAATTGTGAAAATATTTTATAGACTTAATAAATTCTTCCTCAAACGATGTACACTTGGAGTAAATATCTTGTCAGAGTTAGCCCTGAAAGTTGAGGGCTTATTAGCAGATCAGATTATTTATTCTCGATCATGTCATGTTGTTAGATACAATTTTAATGAATGGAAGCTCATTGAGGGAATATCACATAGAGAAAGTCGCTCTTACAAAGTCAATATGCTAGTGTATCATACTTGTATATGCACTTGCAATATACCGCAATTACAATATTTTCCTTGTGCTCATGTTGTAGAGGCTTGTTCGGATTTACAGGGAGGTGCGAGAATATCACATTATACTTTCTCCACAGAGTGGTATCGACTTATAACTATCAATAAGCATACAATGAGTGTTTTCGTCCACCATACGATAGTTGACATTGGACACAAGGCGGGTCATAGATATTACCTCCTATGGATTAGAGATCAGATAGAGGACATTGTTCCATACGAATTAGAAATACTATGGATGAAGGATGAGAAGAAGTTATGAGGAAAAATAAGTGTAGTAGGTGCGATCAACCGGGCCACAACAAAAAACAAATGTCCAGTTAGGCTTAGGAGTTGATTATTTAGGGCTTGGTTGTATGGAATATGGGACTATGGTTTTTAACCTATTATTTTTAATATTGAATGAGATATCTATGCAGTGTGCTTTTATATGTTGATATACGCTGCTCTTTGTGCATGTTTTATTTTTATTTTTATTTTTATTTTTATTTTTTGTGCTCTATGTTTGATTACTTCTAATTGACTACATACGATTAAGAAGGTGATCCTCTATTTTATCAAAATCTGTAGTTGTTTCAGTCATAAACTAATTGGTTTCCCCCCTTCCATCTTCGTATATGTTTTTGCCTTAGTGTGTAAATTGGTTTACAGCTCCTAGGCATGTTTGTAAATATGCTAAATTGTTTTGTATAGTCTGGTTGAATCTCTTAATGCACTATGCTTATTCTCGGGATAAAGAAAGCTTTGTCCATGACAATGCATTATAAGTGTAATTGCTTTCATTCTATAAGTGTAAAGGGTTAATTTTTGTTCTATAGTCACTAAGGTAATACATTGCTATTATTGGGTTATAAAGGACAAATAGAAAGTGCAGGAAGATGAATTTAGAAAATAATATAGTTAGTTGGTCCTGAGGATGCTTATAGAAGGGATTACTACTGCAATTTTAAGAGTATTATTAATTTTCTGCTATTAATTATTAGTTTTCTGCTATTAATCTACTATTTGAGTATAATGGTTAATGTATGATAATTATAA